TCTGGTCAACCCTACACTATTAATCTAGGGCCAGTAAATCAAAGGCCCTTCCTCCTCCTGACCACGCACGCCTGCACTTGCTGCAAGTCTTGGTGTGTTCACATGTGTGTGAATTACCTTACATAACAGAGAGACTTGTTCCATCTCATCAGACTTTCTATGGTGATACTGTATCTGTGGTAAGGGGAACTACCACCAATCTTCCTGTCAGTCATCATCATGCTGTCCTGGTCACAACTCCAGCCCCATGCTCCACCCTCTCCTCCAGAAGACGCTGATGTCTGATTCTGTCCAGAGTTTGGACAAACAAGAGTTAGAGCCTTTATCACATAGGCTTTCTGCTCCCAAGCAGATTTACAGCCTCGGAAACCCTATACGGGGCCACTGTGAGTTGGAATCAAGCCTGTGACGGTGGAGTTTAGTGAGTATGGCGATGGCTGGTTAGCCAAACCAGGGAGAGGAAAGAATAAAGCCAGGCTAAATTTCACCGTTACAGTCACCAGCAAGCAGCTAGAAGTCAATGTATTTCTTTTTAAGTCAGAATCTACCTTTCTGTCTTGACTGTTGGTACAGAAGTCCTTTAAGGTCAATGACTGTATTTGTCCCCAGTTTTATGGGTGCAAAGCCATGGTGTCATTAGTTCCATAGTTTCTGAAGGAGGCTATAATCTACCCAGTGACTCCAGGTGAAAGCCTAGAAACCAATCTTGACCTCTCCCTTTTCCTGATGACCTACTATGTGTCATTATCACTAATTCCACCATTCCATCCCCAAACCACACCCGAATCTACCTTTGCTTGGGCAAAGTCACACTCCCCTCTGGCCTCGCCTACCTGCCACACTCCGCCTCATGTGGGTCAGGTTCTGTTCTTGCTCACACAGCAGCCACTGGCAGATACGGTACTCTCCTGACAAGAACCCTCAGGTCCTTCACCCTGTCTGATAATACACAAGCCCCTCCTCCTAACAGGCTTCACGCCCTGTAACTGTGCTTGTTTCCATCTGAGGGCCGCATGCTCTCCCTCTGCCTGGACACAGCAGGTCTCAGGCTAACCCCTCAGACTCAGTCCCTCCAGCCCCACAAACCCAGCACAGCACCTCAGGATCGTTTTCACAATACAGTGCCAATGAGTCAGTTCCAACTCATAGTGATCCTGTACAGAGTTTCCAAGGAGTGACTGGGGGGGGTGTGGGGGGGTGGTTTGAACCGCCAAACATGTGTGAGCAGACCAGTGCTTACCCTATAGTACTAAAAATACTGGATTACTTGTTCACTACTTTTTTCATCTGTCTTCCCCAATGTAAGCACCATCCAAGAGAGAATATCGGGGTTGTTCTTTGCTATTCAGGAAACCCGTTTTTCGAAAGCTCATTTTATGCCTCTTAGCTTTCGCAAAAACCTACAGTGGTACCTGTTTTCGCTAACCAAGAGAAATCCCACGCGGGCTTTTGTTTGTTCAGTGAGAATGTCAAGCTCCTTCCCTGAGAACTACACTCAGCATCTCAGCGCTGAGACACCAGAGCTTTGAACTGTGGATCTGACGTTCTTTGGACTTCAGTCGTTTTCCCAGGAATATCCTCTCTTTCTGTTCTAACATCCAGTTCAGGCACCACACTACAGTTAACACTATCTGCTGGTGTCACTTTAGGTTTTATCTGTTGTTTGATTTTTGTAGGTTACTTTTTGCATCCGGAATTGCTCAAGACGTTTTCCCATATAAATTTATAATGGTAATTGCTTCTTTGCTTTCTGCTATTTCAGCTTGCAAAAAGTTTCATAGGAACCCTTGACTTCAGAGAGCAGGGGGTGGGAGAGCCAGGGGCTACACCTTGTATCCTCAGGGTATAAAGCACGTACCTGACATAAAGAAGGGATTAAATCAATACTTACTGACTTTAGAACTGTGTCTCACCAACTATGCAGCTGTCTAAGATTTAAGACTAATAAACTCAATAGCTATTAGTCTTGGTTATCATTTCAGTCAACACAATCTGCCATGGTAAGGTTAATAATTTATGTATATTCTTATTTACCTCTTTTCCTAGGTTTAAGAATTTACATCACTATATGTTCCAAAAGAGGAGTTCTGGTGGTACAGTGGATTAAGCATTAACCAAAACATCAGCAGTTCAAGCCCATCAGCTCATCCACTGGAGAAAGATGAGGCTATCTGCTCCTATAAAGACTGATAGTCTCAGAAACCTTAAGGAGCAGTTCCACTTTGTGCTGTATGTTGTTGTTGTTGATGATAAGTGCCTTGGAGTAGGTTCCAACATGTAGTAACCCTGCATAGGGTTTCCGAGGCTGTAAATCTTCACAGGAGCAGAAAGCTTCATCTTCGTTCCACGGAGCCGGAGGGATTTTACTGCTGACTTTGCACTGACCTAGTAGTTCAGCGCTTGGTATATCAACTTGACAGCAGTGGGTCTGGTAATCTGGGGATTATGTTCCAAAAAGGAGTCCTGGTAGCACAGTGGTGACGTGCTCAGCTGGGATCTGAAAGGTCGGCAGTTTAAACCTATCAGCTGCTGCGTCTGAGAAAGATGGGGCAGTCTGCTTCTGTAAAAACCACAGCCTTAAAAACCCAGGTTTGCTATGACCAGAAGGGCTCAGCAGTGTTGACTCCAAAAATCATTTACAACAGCCAACTATCACACTGCACTTAGTCTAAAAGATGGAAATAGCTCCATATAGGGCAATCCACAAAACACCCATTCAGTACTCCTCAAAAGTGTCAGGGTCATGAAAAGCAGGGTACGATGTGGAAACTGTCAAAGACCAGAGGAGACAAGAGAGACATGACAGCTACCTGCAATGTGGTGGCTGAACTAGATGCTGGAACAGAAAGAGGACGTTCATGGGAAAGGACTGGAACCCCAAGAAAGGCCACAGTACAGTTACAAGTAATGTGACAACACTGGTTTCTCAGTTTAACCAAATGCATCGTGGTGACCAAAGACGTTTGAGAAGCTGGGTGAAGACTATATAGGAATTCTCTGTTCTATCTTTCCAACTTCTCTGCAAATGAAAATAATACCTGTATTATATATCATTATATATAATAAAAAGTTTACATAAAAAGCTTAGCATCCCCACATAAACATTTGCTGTATTCTCACCACAGGTTGACATATGATTCTGAATACAGCATAGTGAGGGTCACTACATTACTGCTTTGAGTCCAAGTTGTTGTTTTTAAGTGTCTTCTAGTTGATTCTGACTCATAGCAGCCTTGTGTAGTGTTTCCAAGGAGCAGATGGTGGGTTTGAACCATAGATCTTATGGTGAGCAGTCCAGTGCTTATCCTACAGCACCACACAAGGATTCCATACAACCACTTAAATACAAGGGGCTACAAAGAAAGTTTATGAAAAAATTCCATTATGTTTCAATTCCATTTTTCCAGGAACTTTTTGAAGCCCTCTTGTAAAAAAAAAAAAAAAAAAAAAAAGCACACATTTGCAAACACAAATGTCAAAATACCTAAAGAGATGGACTTATTCACTCTAATGTCTCATTAATTCTACACACACCTCTAGCAGGAAAAGTGCCATCCTTCCCCATTTTTTCTGGTAGGGGTGGCTGCCTTATACATTCTAGCATCTCCATTTGCCTATTAAATACAGCTGCAGTCTAGTTGGTCCCAACTCCTAATGTAGGACAGCAGAATTGTCTCCTGTAGGACCGCAGAATTGCCCCACAGGGCTTCTGAGGCAGCGACCTTTCTGGTCTTTCTCCCACCAAGTACCTGGTCCTTCGCACCTTTGATCTTTCTGTTGCTTTCCTTAAGCTTGATCGCTGCACCACAGGGCTCATTGTTAGTCTATTAAGTGGGGAGACTCTTCTAAGTCCCATTGGCCTACACTCTGTCAATTGCCTCTTCTCTAAAGGGAGGAGAAACTAAGGCTCATACTTGAGGCAGTAACACCTGAGAAACCATTTCCTCTGATCCTTCCAATGCGGTAGGCCAATTATCTCAGAAAGACGTGCAAGACATTCTGCTCCAATAACTGTTTTACACGTTATTTCCTTACTTGCTCATTTGGCAAATGATTACATCCTACAGCAGCATGAATCACACTAAATTTAGATAACAAATAGGACTCTAGATTTAAAAATATGAAATCAAATTCCACTGTGATGTGTTTGCTCCCTAGAGAGATTGCATCATAAACACACCCAACACCTAGGCACTGAGCATCACAATCCGTGCAGCACTCTCTTGTTGTTGTTTTTAACTGCTGTCGAGTCGGTTCCGACCCATAGGGACCCTGTACAGGGTTTCTGGGGAGTGACTTGTGAGACTGAACCTTGCGGTTTAAACAGACTTTGTAGCTTTATGAGACTTACAACCCCAAAACAAAACCTCACAGCTTCCAACGTACTTTCATACATGGGATTTCTGAACATCTTTACACACACTGCCTGAAACATGAGCAATTATTTATTATTCTGGTTTCCACTAAACACACACATCTATTATTTCATGGGTCATGGTGATCTCACTTAATCAAGGGAATATAAAACGGTCGAGCTAAGATTTAAAAAAAACAAAACCATTCAGAATGCAGAATAAAGGTGAAAAGGTGATAGCACAAGAATCATCTGCTTACAAGAAAAACAGTCAAAAAAAGAAGGGAAATTTTTATAAAGTCTCTGGGTAGTTTGTGGTTTTGTAGTTGTCTTGCCTTGGGTTAGTTCCTTAAATATTCTCAATCTCATTTATAACATTAAGATAGTAATGTTAATATATATACACTGATTTTTTTTTTTTTTCTTCCAGTAATATACTTACTGGCAAATAAAACACCTTTTTTTAAAGTTACTTTTCATCCAAAATTAGCTTTTAAAAAACTGTAAGTTGCTAACTACTGGCAGTATGAAAACAATATACAACAAAATAAAAAGACAACAACTGTGTGTGTTGACTGTATTTTGGAACTGGGTATAAAGCAGAAAGTAACTTGTTCAACCCAGTTCTTGGTAAGAGCTTGCTTACCTTGGAGACTTGTCGAAGCCACCGTAAGTACTCGGTGAAAGTATCAAAACAAATGTAGTAAGTCTGGCTTTGGGGTCCAGAGGAGCTGAATGCTAAACAGTGCTGGTGCTTTTTCACTTCTTCTACCTATGGAAAGAGAGAGACAAACATAAGGGGGAAAGCAAAGTCATTTCCATGTATCATGAAATCAGTGAGTCCACACAGAGGTTCGTCATACAGCACAAAAGTTTTGAGTCGGACACACCATCTGAATGACAAGGAGCCCCAAAAAGGGAGTATTTGGGGATTTATTTTTTATCTCCCCACCATAGCTAAATTCTCATCATCTTCCTCTTTAAAACTGGAATGAGCTATCTTCTCTTACCCTTCCAGTCTCAGAACAGGGTGTGGAGTTGTTACTTCCTCTTAGGAGGACTTTGACTTCAGGGGACTTTCTGTGCTATTCTGAAGAACAATCTTTTTGTTCAGGAGGTCTTCAAGCAAGTTAAATAAGTTAAAACACACACACACACACACACACACGAGATTAAACTACCATAAAACTCCACTACAACAGCATTAAAGTCATTAATGTAAGAATATGAGAAGTACCAGTAGCACTGTACAATAAGCACTGGACTGCTAAAACACAAGGCCAGCAGTTCAAATTCATCAGTGGCTTCATGGGAGAAAGATGAAGCTTTCTGTTCCTGTAAATAGTTACAGTCTCAAAAACCTTCTACAGGGTCTCTGTGAGTTGAAACAGACTCAATGGCACTTAACAACTATTTAAGAATACAGTCAAGTCATGTAAACACATGTTAACATGGGTGACAGGGCAGGTAGTATACAACAGGAGGAAGGTTAGTAGAGGAAAGATGAAGGTAGCAAGAGGCACAGGGAGGAATATAGTTAAAGTGAATAGAGATAAAGGCTGTTAACTCTTGGTACATGGAGGGGACTGCAAACATGTAATGAAGAAAGCTATGATTTACTGAATGTAAAACTGATGATGTGCTTTATAAACCTTCACTTAGTTTACAATAAAAAGGTTTTTTAAAAAAAAAAATCTTTAAATAACATTCATTTTTCTTTAATTATATAAAAAATAAAACTACACTGACAAAATTACATTCCCAGGACCCTCAGTTCTTTGAAATCCTGGTGTTGCGCCATAGGATAAGCACTTGACCTCCAGGTCGGTTTGAACTGCAAGGCTGGTGGTTCAAACTTACCCACCGCTCCTCAGAAACCCTATACACTGTCTCTATGAGAACCAAATCGACAGCACTTAACAACCACAACATCATGGAACTTACATTGAGAAATATATTTGCTTTTTCATTTGTCCACAAAGTTAATGTCCTCTCATATTAAAATAAACAAGAAAATTTAGCAAGGTGACTGTAATAAGATCAGTATTTGAAAATCAAATGTATTACTAAATGAAGAGAGAGAATGTTCCAGTTACTTCTTCCCCATCCAAAGCAAGAGGACAGCCCACATGTTACCAATGTCAGATTGGGTCCCTGTGAAAAGAAATTCACACTCTTACCATCAGCAATGGATACAGACTATGTTGTTGTTGTTAGGTGCCATCAAGTTATACCGACCCATAGCGACCCTATGACACAACAGAACAAAACACTGTCCGATCCTGGGCCAGCCTCACAATCATTGCTACGTTTAAGCCCATATACACAGAGTATAAGGCAGGAATAAATGTTGTATAAGTCCCAAGATTCGTGTGTGTATGGGGGGTGTGGGGGGGGGAGGGGGAGTGTTGTGAACACAACAGTGGCCTATGTTGACTGACATACAATTCAATCATTCCACAGTCAAAATGTTCCTACAAATGACCAAGTATTCCCCTGCGGCACCGTAACGCTAGTTGAGAACTACTGCCATAGTAAACTACCTGCATGACAGGAAATATGTGAACACAAGAATCAGTGTAGCAGCCTTGATTATAACAAAAACTGGAGACAACTCAAATACCCATCAACAAAAAAACTGCTTAAGAAATTGTGGTATGTTTACAGAGTGGAATATTATATAGAATGAAAACTGCATATAACAACAGGGAATCTTTATCATGAAACATAATATTGAACGAAAATGTTAACAATGTATTTTTATACAGATCAAAAGTAAGCAAGATATAGCTGTGTAATAATTTTTTTCAATAATGGAAAAAGTGATATACACACATTCTAGGAGAATGGATCTGAGGTTGGGGGAGATAATGAGCAAATGATAAAAGAAGTGAACACAGGTAGTAACATGGGTACCAATGCAGTCACAAGTAATAAGCTGAGTAAGAGGTTAACAGTTATTCAATTTATTATGTTTTATCATTTAACAAGAAGTCCTAGGGGTCTAGAGGGTTATCACTGGGCTGCCAACAGGAAGGTCAGCAATTCAAATCCACCAGCAGGTTTAAGGGAGAAAGAAGAGGTTTTCTGCCCCTGTAAAGATTTACAGCCTCAGAAACCCTATAGAGGGTGTGTCACCATGAGCCAGAATTGACTTGGTGACAGTGGATGAGTGCTAACTGAACAGATTTTAAAGTAATATTCATTAAAATACATTATTATCTACAAATCTACATATTATATTCTAAAGGAGAAATTGAGCATAACATAGTAATTGCAAAATGAATAAAAACTTATCTATTGAGCAGCTATTTCAACAATTTAAGAGTTTTATTAAAATTCATTTTAAAATTCTGTATTTTTAAATATAAAGTGATCACACCCAAGCAGTGTGTCAAATTTGATTTCATAGCAATTCTAGCTAGGTTCTGACCAATCAGGCTCTTACCTTACTTCTATCTCATCTTTATGTTAATGAAAACAAAAAAACCTCCACTTACTCCCAGTTTAGTACCTGGTCGATGCAAATGGTAAAGTGCTCAGCTGTTAACCAAGAGGCTGGTGGTTCAAGTCCACCCAGCGACATCTCAGAAGGCCTGCAGATCACCTTCCAAAATAACTTCAGTCACTGAAAACTCTACGGAGCACAGTTCTGCTCTGATAGACACGGGGTCAGAATCAACTCAACTACAACTGGGTATGGGTTATCCTTTGACCACAGAATGCAAACAGAACGGACAAACATTTGTGGAAACTCAGATTGCAAAGAGTAAATTATTTTTCCCTAAACAACAGGTTTTAAAAGACTTGGGTTTTCAGTGGGCTCAATTATGTTCAAAGGCATAGCCCAAAACAGGTTTTACCAGGTTTGCGTGTGAAAAGAGGAAGTTATTAACTTTCAATTCACTCAGTGGTAAAAGCCCATCCAATTGTAGGCTTGGGCACACAGGGCCTGGGAAACAGGACAAGTCTCTAAGCTCTCAATGAAAATGCTAATTATAACTCCATCTTCTGACCTTATCTGAACAGTCAGCATCCTTTCCTGCCTCTGGGCTTCTGAGCAGAATAATCTTTCTGACCATCTCCCTTCATATGTCAAAAGACTTTTCACCCTTCAAGTTCTACCTACATGGCTACTCCTTCATTACCAATTCCCCTGAACCCCTCCCGCTAAACGTCATCTCTGGCAGCACACCTCTTGGTGCAGAAGTTTCCATCTTTCATCTCCTGATAGTAAACAATAAGCTCTCCGATGACAGTGATGACGTGGCTATGGTTGTTGATATTTCGGGGCACCGGGCACACTGCCTTCTCCGCAGAGGATGCCACTCCTAATTAATTGGAACCAGCTGGGCGGCCCTTTACAACAGCACCTTTAAAATTGCCTATGCAGATGCCGCCACATTCAGAGAAGAGAGTTTGGTGACCTAATAGGGCATTCACATATCAAATTTAAATGATGTGCCTTTTTAATGGTGAGTTATGGTCAGAACCGACTCTATGGCACATAACAACAACAACATGGTAATAAGAATGATGACTCATTTCTCAATAATCCATCAGGCAAGATCTGCAACAGCAAGCATCAGTTACTAAGTCTTTAACGTTCAGAGATAACTTAAGGAGCAATGGTTTCAGAATGGATGACTGAAACAGTCTAACTACCAGGCAGCCTAGCCAAAATCTATTGCTGAACAGGATCAGCTTTGCCTTCTTAAGTCCAGAATGTGTAACAGCAAAGAGAAGGGGGAGGCCAGGAGAATGCAGCCTGGGCTATTTTCTTACAACAAAAGACTAGTTTAAACTTGCAAATGAAGAATGAGCCTGCTACCTAGCAGGTGAGCAATAAAACCATTTACTGCAGAGCACACATCCGGGTCTTATTAATTTCTAATCCCTTGAGCCAGCAAATCAGACATTTGTCAAATTTTAAAGCATTTGTCAAATTTTAAAGCTTCACTTTGGCAACCACTAGTTTCTTAGTTTTCCTCCCTTATAGCCTCTGCAGGCCCCTACAGGGAAAAGAAAACACTTGTTTAAATTGCCCCCAATTTCCAACCATCCATTTTCTCAGCCAAATCTGCCTTCCTGTTCACTTTCAGATGATTGTACCATCAGGAAATACTGACATTTAATTATGGTGATGCTTTGCCAAACACCACTTGGGATTAGAAAAGTAACTCTGACAAAGAAAAGAATGCAGGATATTCCCCCCAAGCAATCTGGTTTCTTCTTTCCAGAAGCAAAAGAGTTAACATATCCAAAGGAAAGCATCTCTTTAAGCCAGAACTGTCTGTCAGTTCTAGAACATTTCCTCCAAAAGGTGGAACACTGCAGGCTGGAAAATCATGACAAGCCACCATGAAACAACTAGAAATGTGAAACCCTACTGGTCACTCACCACAGACTTATTTAGAGGTATGGTAAACGGGACCAGACACAGCAGTGCTGCGCAAAGTCTAATTCTCATGGTCAGAGTTGAATGCTGCTGAGGTCCTGAGCTGAGGGACCATTATACCCACTGTGGTCAAGATCATTCCAACTCACAGTGAGTCTACAGAACAGAGGAGAACTGCTCCACAGGGTTCCCAGGCTGTAAATCTTTATGGAAGCAGACTGCTACATCTTGCCCCTAAGGGGAGGCTGGTGGGTTTAAACTGCTGACCTTTGGATTAGCAGTCCATTGCTTAACCCAAAAGGGATCATTATAATACATCACAAAATATATGCTCAAGATATCAAAAGGTGCTTATTCATAGATAATGAATTTAACACATAGAGACTAGAATGTGACAGTGAAACTCAACTAGAAGGTGAGCCAATAGCATGGTTATCTCCCATAAACTGCACCAACCAACACTGCTCACTGGTGGAGCAAAACAGGGGCTGAGTAAGACCTCATGGGTGAGTCAGTAACCATTTATCCATGACCAGAGAAACACAGTATACTCCTTAGTGTGCTGAGAAATCATTTATCTTCAAGGTTCCTAGACCAGAAAGCCAACATTTAGTTTGTTAAAACTTACTTTTCCACCGATTAGTGGCAGAACGTGCATTTTTCCAGTCACGCTGTCTTTCACAGATGACACTATCAGGCAGGTCCCACACAGGATGACTTGGCGTCTTGTCCATCGGTTCACTGGCAACTGCATTTTGCCTTTCCGGACATTATACATTCCTGAGAGTTGAATCCGTTCCCAGCTACCAGTACTGTGAGGTTTTCCTGCAACAAGCACAAGCAGATATTTTAGTCTGAAAAGAAATTGGCTTTTCTTCCACTCGTCTGCATACTAGATAAATTACTTAGACAACAGAGAATAATTATAGGGAAACAATTTATAATTGAGAGAATCCGAAATGTGCAGTTCTGTAATTATGCTAAGAACTACCACAACTACGCCACATTTTCACACGAGGTGAAGAACACTGCTGCTCCTCCAAATTCTAGGAAAAGACCTTTTTATTTTTTTTACTTTTTACTGTGTATTGGGTGAGCATTTACAAGACAAATCAGTTTTCCATTTACCAATTCCGACACATTTTGTTTCATCTTATTGACTGCAATCCCCACACTGGTACCTCACTTACCCCACTTCCTCCCTGGGTTTCCTGTTTGCGGTCCTCCTCCTTCTCTAGCCCCCCTTCGAAACACTGTCTTGGGGAAATGTTGCCCTTTTGATCTCAAATGCTTCATTATTGTAAGGAGTATATATTTCCTTAGTGCCACAGTTTCCCTTAGAGTCCTGGTGTGGGTTAATGGACTGGACTGCAAAGTCCTTTGAATCACAAGGTAAGTGGTTCAAGCTTACCAGTCACTCCTTGGAAACCCTATACAGGGTCACTAGGGGTCAGAATTGACTCAATGTCACTTAACAACAACAACAACACAGTTCCCCTTACAACCATATTGTTTTGCTAAACATTGAGCCCTGGGAGTGGGTTCATTGCCAAACCTAATGGGTGATGACTGAAGAGTCCTACTCTCAGGGATTTAACAGGTCTATATCTGACCAATAAGCTGATTCCTCTTAGGATTTTGAGTTTTGCTCCACAGTTTCACCCACTTTATCCAAGACCTTCTAATGGGAACCCTTTCAGAGCAATTGGTGGTGGCAGCCTAGCACCACCTAGTTCTTGTAGCCTCAGGGCTGTGCAGACTGATGGTCACAGTGTCCTTTAGTCCACTCGACTAATTGTTTCCCTGCAACTTCAATTGTCTTCACTCACTTTTCCTCCAGACAGACACCAGTAGTTGCACCTTAGATGGACACTCATGGACTCTCTGGTAGCGTAGTGGTTACGAATCGGGCTGCGAACCTTAAGGTCAGCGGTTCGAAACTACCAGCTGCTCCG